TGTGAGTGTTGGGGCTGATAGAATAAAACTGAAAACTGTTTATTTAACAACAATATGAGCAATACTAGACTATATGGATGTGTGGTTTGTGATCAGATCTTCTTTCAGTTTCGGTATCACGTCGTGCCTCACCTAGAGTAATGGGCGTGGCTTAAGGACACTGTATTTATGAAAGTCTCAGTGACGCAGAACTGCAGAAGAAGGAGAAGGTCCACACACTTATTAATGCTTAATACCGAATTCTCTGAAATTTTCTTAATTGTGATTCAGACTAACTTGAACATCAGCTCTACTCCAGGTGAGTTTGCGTTTCTTGCAACGGAATTTATGCAGTGTTAATTGATAATAAGGAATGACAAACATTGAGATTGTTTAATGTATTTATTAATGTTTTATTGATCTTGTTTTAATTGATCTTCCTGCAGTCTGATTGGCTACAGTAATGGCGACGAGGTGTGAAACTTCTCCTGGTAAGAGAATATCCCACAGGATTTATTAAAGCAAAATAAGGAGACATGATGATGATAATGGGGGAAATGTGACATGGGCGGAAATGCCATTTCGTTCGAACGCAAAACCTTTGGAATATAATGACAGAGGCGCGTTGCTAGACCCCTTTTACTGGGGCACGTGCCCCACTATAAATCTGCTGTGCCCCAGCAAATCTGAAGTTTGAGAATGAGTTTAACAATTTATTTTATATTTCATTGTATTTAAAATAAATTATATTATAGGGTAATTATATATTAGTGATCTGTTTGTAACGCATTAGTAAAACAATTAAATCAACGCTTGTAAAAGCAACACAGTTTAACCGAAAACAGAAGTTGACCCGCGCGACAGAAATCCTTGTCTGCGCGCGTCCGTGTTTCCAAGCAACTGCAGCGCGCGCACATCTGAGCGCACCGATGTCCATGTTCGCACGCTATTGAGGTAGGCTATGGAAACATGAGGAAACAAAAGTTTCCTCTTTTGGTATGGGGTACTTTCCATGAGATCATCTTTCAATGCAAATCAAACCAGCTATTAGGCTATCTGAAGTAAAACCATGCAAATCTCTAGGTGTGGTGAATGGTGTGTGATGATGTGGGGATATTTTAATCCCAAAGGCCAAGGGAACTTTATCAGGATGCATATTATCCTGGATCCATGAAATAACTGGCTTTTAAAAATAAAAATCTGCCTGACTCTATGGGAATTTAACATAGGGGTGCCCTGACATATGCACCCTGTATTTTAAGGAAAAACATTTATTTATTTATGATACATTTATTCATTCACGAAGAAAATTGGTGTCCTTAAAGGTTGGACTTTTCCTCATTTTTCTAATTAAGGCATTAAGATCAATATCCAAAAGATGATTTTTTATTTCTTCTTTTTAGGCAACTTTAGCATGGGGGTCAAAACTTATTCACACCACTGTACACAGACAAACAAGCTAAACAAGGTAACAAGGGGGCGTGGCTAATCAGAAACACCTGGGGTGACTAATCAACAAAGTGGGGAACAGCTGACATGGAAAAAAAGCGGAACACATGACACACAAGAACAGGATACAAAACCCACACGTGACATAGCCCCCCTCCTATGGGCGGCTCCCGACGCCCCTTAAATCAAAAATAGAACAGTTCAGGAGGGTGGTGAAGCAGAGGCGGTCTTGGGGGAGGGATGGAGGGTCAAGTCCGTGCAGGGGAATGGGACCAGGGCATTGAAAAGGCGCGCAGGTGGTCAGGGCGGAGCAGGGACTGCAGGCCAGGACGGAGCAGACCCCTCGGGTGGCCAGGGCGGTGAAGACCCCTTGGGCGACACCGGCTCGGCAACAGACAACACACACTCTGGCTCGGCAATAGACACACACACTGGCTTGGCAACAAACAACACACACGCTGGCTCGGCAACAGACATCCCACACAGGCTCGGCAACAGACATCACATACACTGGCTCGGGAACAATCAACACACACAATGGCTAGGGAACAGGAACAGACTCTGGCTCGGGAACAGTCAACACACACAATGGCTCGGGAACAGACATCACACACACTGGCTCGGGAATCGACACCACACACACTGGCTCGGAAACAGACATCCCACACACTGGCTGGGGAACCGACAACACACACACTGGTTCGGGAAAAAAACACACTGGCTCGGGAACCGACAACACACACACTGGTTCGGGATCAGACAACACACACATTGGCTCGGGGGCAGACACACACACTGGTTCGGGGGCAGACGGAACAGACACCGACTCAGCAACAGGAACAGACACCGGATCGGCCATCTTGTCCGGAGACACTGGATCGGCCATCTTGTCCGGAGACAATGGATCGGCCATTTTGTCCAGAGACACTGGATCGGCCATCTTGTCCGGAGACACTGGATCGGCCATCTTGTCCGGAGACACTGGATCGGCCATCTTGTCCGGAGACACTAGATCGGCCATCTTGTCCGGAGACACTGGATCGGCCATCTTGTCCGGAGACACTGGATCGGCCATCTTGTCCGGAGACACTGGATAAGCCATCTTGTCCGGAGACACTGGATCGGCCATCTTGTCCGGAGACACTGGATCAGCCATTTTGTCCGGAGACACTGGATCGGCCATCTTGTCCGGAGACAATGGATCGGCCATTTTGTCCGGAGACAATGGATCGGCCATCTTGTCCGGAGACAATGGATCGGCCATCTTGTCCGGAGACACTGGATCAGCCATTTTGTCCGGAGACACTGGATCGGCCATCTTGTCCGGAGACACTGGATCGGCCATCTTGTCCGGAGACACTGGATAAGCCATCTTGTCCGGAGACAATGGATCGGCCATCTTATCCGGAGACACTGGATCAGCCATTTTGTCCGGAGACACTGGATCGGCCATCTTGTCCGGAGACAATGGATCGGCCATTTTGTCCGGAGACAATGGATCGGCCATCTTGTCCGGAGACAATGGATCGGCCATCTTATCCGGAGACACTGGATCAGCCATTTTGTCCGGAGACACTGGATCGGCCATCTTATCCGGAGACACTGGATCAGCCATCTTATCTGGAGACACTGGATCGGCCATCTTGTCCGGAGACACTGGATCGGCCATCTTGTCCGGAGACACTGGATCGGCCATCTTGTCCGGAGACACTGGATCAGTATTTTGTCCGGAGACACTGGATCGGCCATCTTGTCAGGAGACACTAGATCGGCCATCTTGTCCGGAGACAATGGATCGGCCATTTTGTCCAGAAACAATGGATCGGCCATCTTATCCAGAGACACTGGATCGGCCATCTTGTCCGGAGACACTGGATAAGCCATCTTGTCCGGAGACACTAAATCGGCCATCTTGTCCGGAGACACTGGATCGGCCATCTTGTCTGGAGACACTGGATAAGCCATCTTGTCCGGAGACACTGGATCGGCCATCTTGTCCGGAGACACTGGATCGGCCATCTTGTCCGGAGACACTGGATCAGCCATTTTGTCCGGAGACAATGGATCGGCCATCTTGTCCGGAGACAATGGATCGGCCATCTTATCCGGAGACACTGGATCAGCCATTTTGTCCGGAGACACTGGATCGGCCATCTTGTCCGGAGACAATGGATCGGCCATTTTGTCCGGAGACAATGGATCGGCCATCTTGTCCGGAGACAATGGATCGGCCATCTTATCCGGAGACACTGGATCAGCCATTTTGTCCGGAGACACTGGATCGGCCATCTTGTCCGGAGACAATGGATCGGCCATCTTATCCGGAGACACTGGATCAGCCATCTTATCTGGAGACACTGGATCGGCCATCTTGTCCGGAGACACTGGATCGGCCATCTTGTCCGGAGACACTGGATCGGCCATCTTGTCCGGAGACACTGGATCAGTATTTTGTCCGGAGACACTGGATCGGCCATCTTGTCAGGAGACACTAGATCGGCCATCTTGTCCGGAGACAATGGATCGGCCATTTTGTCCAGAAACAATGGATCGGCCATCTTATCCAGAGACACTGGATCGGCCATCTTGTCCGGAGACACTAAATCGGCCATCTTGTCCGGAGACACTGGATCGGCCATCTTGTCCGGAGACACTGGATAAGCCATCTTGTCCGGAGACACTGGATCGGCCATCTTGTCCGGAGACACTGGATCAGTATTTTGTCCGGAGACACTGGATCGGCCATCTTGTCAGGAGACACTAGATCGGCCATCTTGTCCGGAGACAATGGATCGGCCATTTTGTCCAGAAACAATGGATCGGCCATCTTATCCAGAGACACTGGATCGGCCATCTTGTCCGGAGACACTGGATAAGCCATCTTGTCCGGAGACACTAAATCGGCCATCTTGTCCGGAGACACTGGATCGGCCATCTTGTCCGGAGACACTGGATCGGCCATCTTGTCCGGAGACACTGGATCGGCCATCTTGTCCGGAGACAATGGATCGGCCATCTTATCCGGAGACACTGGATCAGCCATCTTATCTGGAGACACTGGATCGGCCATCTTGTCCGGAGACACTGGATCGGCCATCTTTGTCCGGAGACACTGGATCGGCCATCTTGTCCGGAGACACTGGATCAGTATT